AGGTACTACCAGGAATAAAGATTGCGTGAAATAAATATTCAGGGTTGTCAAATAACGAGCAGAAAAATTGTTAAAAATATTTGCAAACAGCATGAAAAATGCATCAGACCAGAAGTTGGACTAGTTGAAACAGATGCCATTCAATACATTTACATTTGCTAAATTATAACTAGTTTTATCAATTCAATGTCAACTATTGAGAATGGAAATGTCACTGACTGTCGGCACATAGGTATAAAATAACATTCTAAGCAACTTTTCCAAGTAACTTTTTTTATTATAAAATTGACCGAGTTCATAACTTGCTAATCATTCAATTAAAATGAATTTACACTTATTAGAAGCTGAAACTGTAGAATACATACAGTAATATCTTAAAATATGCAGCTTACGGCGGTTCATATTTATATCAATAATTATTTCTTTGCTGCTGAAAATGAAAATAAAAGATTGCATTCATCTCAAGTGCGGCACACTTTATATCAAATTATTTTCAATATTGGTAATATTCAAATACAATATTATATAAAAACACTTTATAAAGAGATAAATAAATGAATATTCAATTTCATCATGAATTAAATAATATATGAATCGAAGTCAGTTCGTGCAAACTCATCAATAATTGTAAAAGTTTACAATCATTTGTTCAGCTCAAATGTTTCTTCCAAATACAAAATCTCTGTTTATATGACCCAGTTTAGAAATGTATACAATTTAGTTCACTACAAATGCAAAAAGAAATAGTTTCACTTTATAATATAGAAAACAAACTGAATATTCAAAACTGAAGTTAGCAATTGGAAAGAAGTAATGCAAAAAAAAATTAAATAATTACAATAGCAATACATCAAGGCTACATCAAGAATAAATGGTCAGTCTCTTAACAAAATTTTTAATAATAATATGAGTGCTGAAATAAATTTTGAATGATACGAGATCGATGGTCTAGTAAAAGAGGAAAATGGTGGTTTCTCTTGGGATGAAAACTGATGATATCAGAAACAGTTCTGAAAATATATTGGAAAACTTCACAAATTGGCTTAAGAAAAAAATGGATGTCATTTTCAAAACTAGAAAAAATATTGAGAGCATCCCATACAAATAAAAAGGTGAACATTTTTTATCTTATACCATCGCGAGTAGTGAAACAAACATAACTGATATTTCAGTGTATTAAACTATCCTTGACCAACATTTATGAACTCAGCCATCTATTTCAAAAAATTATTAATTTGATGTCATTTTGCCTTTAAAATATTGAATGTATCTAAATCAGGATCGCAAAAACACCTACAAATTCTTCAATGTCAAGGGTGGACAAAGAAACCTAATTTGAAGGGTGAAAGGCATTGAACAAATTTTTATATATTCTCAAAACAAATATTTTTTTTGCAAGAATTTTCAGAATTTATTCTGATATCATCAATCAGTGTCATTCAGTACACATGAGAAATGTAAAGTCTCCACCATTCAATTGATCTTTCGTCTCACTCATTATAGAAATGATCATAAGATTATGTATACCTAACAGTCAAAAGAACATAAAAAAAGGTTTCATAATCATTATTAATTTCACTAAATAGAAATAAATTCTCTCAGTTCAATTTTTAGACAAATTCTAATTGTTTTTTATATCCTAGAAATAATAAGATTATTCAAGTTCACGTGAAGAACATGAAAATAATCACATGAACTTGGCTAGTTCATACATTTGCCATTGTTTTCAAGAATGCAAATTCAAGAGCCCACTCATTCCTTACTAACATTCATAACTACCAGACGACAAGCCGACAAAATTTTTTAAGGGATTGAATGACCCACTGTGAATCATGTTTAATAATGACGCTGCTATTTAAACGATAACTTAAAAGCTCGCCGTCACTTTGGAGCAGTTCAGGTGATTTCATATGAAAATTGAATTTTCTAGAAGACGACAAAATATTCTTGTATAGCTTTTTCCAAGATTTCATATGAATCTAATGGCATACAAAAATAATGGTACAGGAAGAATGTACTATATGACATTTATATAATTCCATTATATAGATTATTCCGGGTGAACAGTGTCATGTGTTTTTGGTAGTTCGACGTTTCTGCTTCGATTTTGAAGCCATTTTTAAGAAGCTATCACTACACTGAGGTCTCAATCTGCCTACTCCTCAGTGCAGTGACATGCTGCAAGGGTTTTCTGACTTGACGCCAAGGCTTTGCAGGGGCCTCAATCCGTCTACTCCCAAGCGACAACTGAAGCTTGGAAGTAGGCAGCAGGGTTCACTTCACAACTTCATTTAATGATCTCATTTGTTATTTCATGAATCAATAGCATTTTTGTCATCCCATAGTTTTTTCATGGAGGATACATACTGCTGCAACATATTGTGCAAGTCACCAATAAAACTAAATGCTATACAATTATTTCTCAGGTATCAATAATTATATATTACCAGGAAAACAGTTTTACAAAAATGTAACACGTGTTTCGCTATACAGTAGCTTCTTCAGGAGTGTCTACACTAACTAAAATCTACATATTCAAGAAACACTTCATAGTGAGTTTTTCACTAAACAGTTTTACAAAAACGCAACACTTATTTCGCCATACAATGGCTTTTTCAGGCGTGTCTTTACTAAGTTTTTGTAAAACTGTTTAGTGAAAATCTCACGATGAAGTGTTTTTTCAATACTTTATGGATTTTCATCAAGTATCGGCCAATTCCACCATACAATCCACATATTCAATGCTTTATATATGATTTTACAATTTGAAGTACCTAAATTCTAGCTATCCAATAATTTTTAAAATGTGTACCTGTGTTTGAAAGTAAATCAATTAACATTATTGTAAGAAAAGAAACTGTACCAACTCATTTAAATAAGTATGTAACAAATGAAACTTGGTTCCGCCCTTACACATTAATGGTCTCATTCTTTTATAGTGTGAATAAAGGCATAATTAGTGTTATTTTGTATATGTTTGAATATACTTCCAGTTTCAAATCACATTTAGCCATAGCCTTTTATTTACTCTGTTTACGGGAGTGTATGATTTTGCAATCTAAAAATTAGATTCGACCCCCCAATTTGCAATGATCTTACACCATTACGATGTAAGGAAGATGGTGTCGCTCCAGGTACTCCATGGATTTTTTTATTATTAATTTTAGGAAGAAGTTATTCTTCATGAAAAGTTGTAAAAACACCTAAAATGCAATCATGGGTTATGGAATTCCTTCGATCATATATGGGATTTACAAAAAAAGTATGATTTGTTCTCAAAAGTACAGTACCTTCATTTTTTGACAATATGTAATAATTTACGATAAAAATTCGGTCTCATTTTTCACCAATATTGTGTATTACATTGTACTCAGTTATAGTCCTTGGGTTTAATCTTAGTTTTCAGTTATTATTTTTCTTAGTTTTTAATTTCTATTTCTTTAGGTTTCATTTTTTAGATGATCTTAATCATAAGTATTTCTGTACACCATTGTAATAACTTGTTTGTATATTGGATGCTGCCCGTTAGATAAATAAATAAATTAATAAAATAAATAAAGGAATACAGAAATAAATACAGAAGAAACATTTGCAATAGATTTTCATAGTTGTAACTACGGTAAACATTCTTCCCTGTCTAGAGTTGCTATTGGTGGTAATAAAGTCGATCTAGACTTCTTTTCATTGAACGAAACAAAATTTAAGTTTGCATTACGCTCGCTCAGAAATAAATTATAAATGGTAATAAATATAATTATTGAATTTTCCATATCTTAATCATTCATTTATCTAATTAATATTTCAATTCAGTAAATTTATTTTCTCACTGTTATTTTTTTTTATTAATAAATTAGTTTTACTTTTAGCAAGTTAGATGTAATTATTTGTTGTATTCATATAATTTATTGCGAAATCTCTTAAACTTAATTGGGTGTTAACCGTTAATGAATAAATAAATAAATTAATTAAAATTTTGAAATTCACTTTGCATTTTTTGTCAGTGCATTCTAGATCACATGTAGAATAATCACAGTTAGAGTTTTGTTATTGTAGGGATAAGTTCTGAGAAAAATGCTTATTTAAATGCAATCTTCAATTCTGGTCAACTTTTTACAATAACAATTTTTTGAAATTATCAATAAAGTATAGTTGAGGAAGCACCAAACTTTTACGAAGGTTTAAAATAGATGAACACTTCAATCTAGCAGACCACTATTATTCACTGTAGTTCTGAAGTTGAATCTGGTTATTATTACGTCAAAGACGAAACGGACAGGTTTAAGTTTGACAATAGTCGTGTCACGAAGTATTCTGGCGATGTCTTGGAGCCTCTGAAGACATCCTACGCTTTGTTTTATCAAAGAGAGGACATTGGCAGATAAAGATCTTCAGATGATGTGGTGCTGCAGGTGAAAAAGCAAATACGCCACTGGAATCAATGAAGTCGCCCCAAAGCGCCAATTAATTTTTGTTGTTTCATAATTTCATGATTTGTATTACCGTCAATAAAATGTATTTTACTTTTGAAAAAAATCATATTTTTTGACCAACCGTGTATACTACTAAAATAATGTGATGATCGATGGTAGCATTTTAGGATTCATTTCTTACAGAACTTTTTATGAGGATTTGTTTTCCTGATGATAAAAATTTTTCAACTTACTGAGACAATGCGTAAATGATATTACTGATTAGTGAATCTGTATAAGTATAAAAAGCTACATTCTCTATAATTTTTTTATCATTCTTTAGAAAGCCGTACATAATATTTTGTCTCCCTTCAAGTGGAAAATACAATTTTCCCATATAGTCACCTATACCGCTCAAAACTCACAGTAGAGTGCTTCAAGTAAACATGATGCATGGTAGGTCACTTTACCCCATAAAATTTTGAAAGGGCTTGTAATCTACACAATCTAACTTTTTTCTAAATTTTCTTAAATCACACATACCTCACAATCTCATCATTCTACACTTTTGCTCTTGCCCAACCCTATACGTACCACAATATGTTTATTTGACAATACAATACCTATTAAAGCAATTATAAATATTAAAGTTGTACATCAGTTACAAGTGGCAGTGATAGCTGACTTTAGTGGTCACCTAATGAATTAACTATACAAGTCGATACTGATCCTGAGCAGAATTTATATCCGAATATAATTTAAAATTATTATAAACTTCACAAAGTTCTTGGAGTTTATATTCTTCTAGACAAACGAAACCTTCCAAATTTGGGGATTGCTTGCGGGCACAGTCCATGCAATGCACCACATGCCTTTTCTCTTGCTCTTTGATGAAAAGAATGTTGAATACTTCAACTTCACAATGCCCGCAGTAGTGCGAAGATTCGTTCTTTCCCCTGCCATGAAACTTAACCTCAACACCTCTATTCTTGACATACTCCAGTATTCGAGAGCATTTTGTTAAAGTTCTCAACAGACAATTCTTTATCATCTCAAACAGTCTTCTATCGGATACTTTTATATTTCTTGCCAAATTCCAAGACAAATGGAGCATGGGTACAATCGATTTGAAACTCTGCAACTTATTCCACTCGTATCTTTCAATTGCAAGCTGGTACTGTCTTGCCGTTAATGGTCCAACGTTCCATGCAATGTTATTGCACCACCCAACAGCTTGAACCCAATGTACACACCCAGCATTGACCCACACCAAGTCTCCAGGCCTCTGCAAAAAGCGATACACCGGAATATTGGCATGATAGAGATCTTCTAGAACTGGCCACCAAGAGCCATGGAGATAATTTATTTGGTTTTTCTCACACAAAGCATAAACAGAACCCCAATAGGCATCAGGAACCCCAAACCATTCACAATCACCCGGACCTATATTGATATTAATCGAACAAAAATTATTGTTCTCTTGGTGTCCTGGCGTTCGACTCCCAGGAACCTTCATATAAAGTTGGACCGTGTTCATACCAAGAATGACATGTCCAACGTGAGAGAGCATATTTGCCGCAGACACTATTCGTGCAAATGCAGGTAATTTCATCAGTTCTTGAAGCTGCGGTCTCCACTTACGTTCATCAGATAAATCAACATTAGTACCAAACTTTAAGGTTTTTTGTTCTTTACAATTTTTTATGATCGATGGTGTGATGCTAATATTGATTTTTCTCCTTTTTGCACCACACTGGGAAGAGTCCTTTGAGTCTGAATCTGATAAGGCATTAGTCTTTTCTCGCTCTTCTCGCAAACTTTCCTTGAAACTCCACGCTTGATACTGGGCGTATCTAGCAATGGTAGTGTGAGATCTATGTGAAATGCAAGCCCAAACTTTTCTGCCTGTTTGTGGATCCCAGTTTTCATCTGATGGTTGTTGTATTTGCGTCCTCACCTCCACACTGTGATCTGGATTAGCCTCAACCAATGTTTTTGTTGAAAATAAACCCAAATCAAGTTTTAATGCAGACGCTAATCCTCTAACCACCGCTATGGGATGTTTCAGGCAAAATTCTTGTAATTGAGGGCTGAATGCATGTTTTTTGTTTTCCAAGAAGACTGAGGGGGTGGGAGGTAAAAGTTGTTTATGGCTGAGTACTACCGAAGGAGGGTCAGGAGGTATTGGTGGTGGAGCCGAGTCCGATATTATTGAGCTATTGATATTACCATTTACAACTTCACTTTTGCACAATTTTATTATTGTCTGCGCATCCATTTCAATATTGTATTCGATTTTAGACTTTTTCTCTCCTGAATTGATTTTGTCAAAATCCCAAGGTGGCTCTGCTTTAACTGTCAATACGCTCTCATGTATGGGTGATTTGACTTTTCCCTTAACATCAGCTACAATTTCTGATCTAGAATCAATGTTTGAAGGCGAAAAACGTTGTGAAGGCAACATGTTTGGACTATTATTATTTCCATGAGAATTTGGTACAGATATAGGCTCTTTCACGTCCATATCATCTGAACCGAAGTGTTTCAATAAATTTTCAGCTAGAGTTGTAGCAAGATCTTTTTGTGCAAATATGTCTTTGAGATCCTCCTCTAAATCCTCATCAAGATCAGCTGTATGAGGTCCAGAATGTACCATAAACTCTCTAGGTTCAACAACAGGACTAGATTGAACCAATTTATCACTTTTGGCAGTGTTCGTTGAGGAAATGATTTGTCCAAATGACTGAACATTACTATAAGCTGGAGTTGTGCCTGCTGGTCTTGGTGCTGGGTGTCTTTGGGCAATTTGTTGTTCTTGAGTCTGCTGCGTTAATCTGTACTGTTGTTGGAGATGATGCATGATATTCAGTTGTGTTGAATTCAATGTACCCACATTTTGCTGGAGGTTATTCAAAAGGTGTAACTGTTGCGGCGATAAACTGTAGGCTGGTTGGCCCATTGTTGTCTTTTGGCCAGTTTCTGGCTTGAAACGTTTGCTTGGGTTATCATTTGGAGATAAATATGGGGGAGGAGGACCTTGATGCGTTGAAGATGTGTAACTTTTCTGGAAATTTTGGGATGCCCCAATTCTATTAGGTTGGGATGAATTTTGCTGTCTTGAAGTCATGTCGGCGAATACGGGACGTTGCACGTCTTTAACGGAAGGAATTGACCCAGCTTTTGCATGTCATATCTCTTGAAGATAATATATAATGCCAATGGAATTCTCTGATTTGTCTGCTAATTGATCTTGGCAACAATCAACCAACCAAGCTGTTGAAAAATATCAGCTCTCAGCAGCTTTATTACAAATATTATTCTAGGATAATGTTAAAACTGAAAAAATATTTACCTATGTTCCCTGGACATTCTCAAATCAAAACATAAATAAAAATAAATAAGACTGCATTCAACCACGTAACAATGCACTAGCCGTAGTTTTCTACTCTCGCACCGGTTGCAATTTATGCAGCAATAATACTATTTTCATCTCTTATAATTCAATACAAACAAGAGAGAGAAAACTGTTCGAATATCAAACGGTGCCGAATAGGGTTCCTATAAAGGAATCACTATAAACAATGAAAAAAAACGTCAGTGCTGCCACCTGCATACTTTAGTCTGATAACCACAGAACTATAACTTAGATATAGTTCTGTGCTGATAAACATATCGGTCTGTTGACACGAAACAGGAATCCATCAGATTAATTTGCGTTAGCTTCGATCTAATCCATGGAGTTCATCAATGTACACCGATGACAAAAGGAACATTGATGAAATCTATCGGTAAAAAGCCGGTGAAAAAATCAACAGTCCGATTGAATTCCGATTACAACGGTAAGTCAATCTTTCCGTGCGTACCACTAATCGCTCAAAACGATCAAAATGCTCCTAGAACCGCTCCATATAATGACCGCGGGCGTTGTGTGTTGTGGTCGCCTCAAAAACATCACTCATGATGTCATTGCTTTCGCTCACGGCAATCTCACAACGACCCATCTGAGGGGGTGGGTCGAAGTGGACATTGAGAACAATTCAGCGCAATTTTTTGAATTGTTTTTGAAATATGACATAAATGTTATATATCATTCGTAATTAATTCCCAATTTCATAACTTATTTCAGTATTCAGTCTCATAAGTAATCAATGGAATAATAACTTGCACATAATGAAGTAAATTCAAGAGTAGCATAAATTAAGAATGTAATCTAAGTGTGCAAATAGACATGAAATTTCAAAATTTACATTTATAGAAAATCATGTACTTGAAATGACTTTTGAATTCTTCATCTTCATGTTTTCAACCTCGCCATTTGTAATGTTTACTAAACGCCCAAAACGTTCCATAATCCATTCCACTTGAGTTTACAACAGTAACGCTCGCAAGCAAGTGGAACGGGAAAAAGTGCGGTCGTGAGCGTGATCGTTGTGAACGCTTAGTGCAGTGGTCGCCAACCTGTCGATCGCGAGCTACCGGTAGCTCGCGGAGGCAATTCTGGTAGCTCTCACAACGATTTTAATTTAAAAAATACAAACTGCAAAAATCAGAGAAGCTTTCGAAAATTCCACAAAAAAATCTAATTGTCATAATATTGAACATAAACAGCGGCAACGTTGCGGTGAGCGATCTGCCGCTGACGCCATCAAGCTAGAATCGGATAGAACCGACCAGCCGGACCAGCGCGTTAGTGTTCGAGAACGATCTGGATTGCTTTGAACAGGATAAATACGCACGGCGCAGCGACATTGCGCTTAGTTTAAAACTGAACGCGTAACCAACGTCCAGCGGTTGGGTTAGTAGAGAACAACAAAAATAATATTATGGCAAGCAGTTGTAAGAAGGTAAAGACATACCACTTTCATTCGGAATGGGAAGAACAATACTTTTTTACAGATGTTAAAGATAAAAATGTGTGTTTGTTATGTAATACTTCGGTCTCCGTTGCTAAAAAACGAAATATTGAGAGACATCATGAAACTGTGCATTCTAATTTTGAAAAATCATTCCCACTACATTCTGCCGCCAGAAAGGAGAAACTGAAACAGTTAAAAAAGCAGTTAATAGGACAACAATCAATATTTTTAAGAATAGTCGACAAAAATAAGGCTGCAACTGAAGCATCGTACCGTGTGTCCCAGATAATTGCACAAAAAAAAACCTTATGAAGACGGGGAAATGATAAAACAGGCGTTTTTAGAAGCTGCTGATTCGTTATTTGCCAACTTTAGAAATAAAGACGAGATAGTTTCAGCTCTAAAATCTATGCAACTTTCTGCTAATACAGTGATAAGACGTGTAGAAGTAATGAGCAATGATATTTTTTTATTTTTCACTTCACAGTGATGAATCAACAGATGTCGTAGACACTGCCCAGATGGCCGTGTTCGTCAGAATGGTTTTTAGTGATTTTACGATTAAAGATCTTTTGAAGTTTATTCCACTGAAAGGACACACTACTGGACATGAGTTGTTTTCTCATTTAAAAAATATTATTTCTTCCGAGAAAATTCCAATATCGAAAATAGTAGGCTTAACAACCGATGGCGCTCCAGCTGTGGTGGGTTGTGATAAGGGTCTGGTGGCGTTTCATCGTAAAGATGAAACTTTTCCGCAATTTCTCTGTTACCACTGCATTATCCATCAGCAAGCATTATGTGGAAATTTCCTGAAACTAAACAACGTTATGAAACTGGTGGTAAAAATTGTGAACAAGATTAGAGCTCAAGCGTTACAAAGAAGATTATTCAGAACCTTGGCCGATGAAGTTGACTGTCAATACGGGGACCTATTCCTTCACTCTGAAGTCCGATGGTTAAGTAGAGGATGGGTGCTGAAACGTTTTAATGGTGTCCTATCTGGCATAGTTCAATTATTCAAACAACGCGATGAACCGACTCCGAAACTAGAAAATTCAATCTGACTTAGAGATTTTGGTTTTCTCGTAGACATTACAGATAAATTAAACGAACTTAATTTGCAGCTTCAGGGGAGAGACAAAGAACTAGCGGAAATGATTTCTGATATAAAAGCATTTATCAAAAAGCTGGAGTTTTGGGAACAAAACCTAATTAACAGCGATGCCAAGCATTTTCCTATTCTTTCAGAAAAAATATCTCAAAATCCATTAGAACCCTATGACAACAAATATCATGTAGAAATAATTTCTACCCTGAAGAATAACTTCAAAAATCGTTTTAAGGATTTCAATGAAATGGCTTTAGTGGCGCAGTTTGTTGTTTCACCCTTTATGGAAATTGATATCCAACAGTTTGCAACTTGTGTTATGCAGAACTTTGACGAAGACATCGCTGCAACAGAAATGGAAGTCATTGAGTTTCAAAATGATTTAGCCTTAAAATCGTTAGTCTCAAGTACTGAATGTATCTGGCCTATTGTAAGTAAAGACAAATATTCAGTTATATGCCGTGTTGCCTTAAAAGTGAAAGCATTATTCAGTTCAACCTATTTGCGTGAATCTTCTTTTTCCAATATGAAGTTTATTAAGAACAAATATCGCAATCGACTTACAGATGAACATTTGGATAATTGCATTCGAATGGATGCATCAAATTATACTGCAAACGTTAAAAAAATTATCGATGAGTCTGAGTGTCAGCCTTCTCATTGAACGTGCTTTTTTATTTTTCAATGTTTATGTTCATGATGGTGCCGTACTTTTTTGTTGTTATTATTAACTATTTTTAAATCATACGTGACATGCCGTAGTGGCTGGATAAAAGGTTGTGTTTATTTTTCAAACACCTTCGTTTGATAGGTAGGAATGTAGCTATGAACAAGTACGTACTATTAATATTAGTTATTTTGATATTAGTTTATTATTAGTACCTATGTATTACCAGTTAAATAGTAAAATAAATACTAATGATAAATTAACTGTGGATTATTTCATTTACGTTGCGTTACGTGGCTTCCGTGTGGGTAGCTCGCTGTTTATTCCAAAATTAACAAAGTAGCTTAACACATTGAAAAGGTTGGCAACCACTGGCTTAGTGGAACGCACAGGTGGTTAGGATTGTACTTTTCTCTCTCTATATTATTGGCTTTTGCTTCCATTCAGGCGCAGTAAGCCATATAATTGTACTTGTTAATTTGTTGGTTGAGTTCATTTATAGAAAACACAAAAGTGTTAACATTTACTTTACAGTATCAGGTAATAATCCTTAGTGTTGAATTGAATTTAACGAAAATTACTTGGTTTATAAACCATAGTTCAAAGAAATTGTTTTGGGTGCATTTTTTCTACCAGTTTGAAAAAAACTTCTGTGTATTATCTATCTACCTGTGGATATTTTATTGATATTCATATTTTTTTACCTAGAATTTACTCCTTCTACATAAGTAGAATAACTTTTTTCTCACAATAAGGTTAAAAAATAAAATATGCTTTTTTTATATTTTTATTTCAATTGACCAGAAATAAATTTTCTCAAATTATTCCTTTTTGTGTTGACCACATATCTTATTTATTAAACGATTCGTTTCATATATGCTTGATATAGGTTATTTTAATAAGAGTATGGAATTTGTAATTATTGAGTACTTCGTTTATTAGAATAAATACCTAGGTTTCCTGTTAGGCGGAGATGTAGCTAAATATAATAGTAAAAAAAAGGCTGATTGTTGTTTATATAATAATCATATGAGAATTGTGAATAATCATTTATTTTCTAATTCGAAAAAGCACGATCATAAAAAAAATTCTGTCATTTGTTATTATTTTTTACGTCAACCGTAGCATTGATAGCTTAGAGTATTGACAGAAGCACAACAGAAGTAACACCACAGAACTTAAGTTTCCAAGTTATAGTTCTGTGAGTAACACCAAACCAAGTACGGAACCAACAACCTAAAGTCGAATCGTTTTAATTTAATCAAATGAATCGAATACAATGAATTATTCGAGTTATTCGATTTCTCTATCGCTACAGTATGGACCAACAATTTGGCATGTAGTATGAACCATGTCCCTTAGAACATATAACAATGAACAATTGTTTATTATTCTGTCATGATAGACTGAGCTAACAAAGCGGAACTAAATATATATTTCTCGTAGTCAGACAAAATAGCCTAAAAAAATTTAAAGCGAATGCTCATTATTTGACATCTATCTAACGAATTTGTTGGTTTACGAAATGCACCAAAATCTGCACATTTTTTGCCCCATTTAGTTTTTGTACACTTCGCTACTTCCTTCAGCAGAGCAATTTCACCTGCAAGTGAGTCAGATCCTTTTACGCATCAGACACAGGTCACCGATTAATCTACAGTGTGACCCATTTAAGATGGAAGCACCCTTATAAAACTTACATTTTTCAACCGATTGGAATGTTTTTTTTTTGTTAGGTAGATTTTCAAAAAGTCTATTAGGACACCAAATATCATGAATAAATCTCAATTTCCAGGGCCAACTAATCTTATTTTTCAAGGTCAAAAATCTAAAAAAATTACTAGCGATTTTTTTAGAAAAACTCTGACTACACCACTGGATTTGTGACATTTTCAAATGGG